GGATCAAACAGTTCAGGGATCAAACAGAAGCGGAGTCAGTCACAAGCCAAGGGTCGGTCACCAATGGTAGTAGATAGGATGAGGCAGAATCGTTGTCAGTAGCAAGCCAAAGGTTGGTAACGTAGATGAAGACAGCAGCAGGAACAGTAAGCGGGATATTGGCTGGTAAGGCACAATAATCTGGCAACCAGGAAGTGCAGAGACATGGCTTTTATAGGAAGTTCATGGGAGGAGCAAGAAGTTCAAGGTTCAAGACAAAACAGGGAAAAGGCAGGATCATCCAAAGAATTGTCAAGGGAGCTGTCCAGCATTCCAGGTGGCTCAGTGAGAAAAAACACTGTCTCTCACCGCAGAAGGCCCAGGTTCGATTCCAGGCTCTGACACTGGGTGAGTAGTCCTACACCCCCTGGGCCAGTTAAGGGGAAAAGAGCACTCTGGTGAGAAACCTGCTTAGTTCCTTACCCGGGACTGGTTCATCTTACAGTGGTGGGCAGTGGGTCCCCTTGCCCATGGATTCCTTCAGGCAGCTGGATGATAAGAGGATTTATCAGGGGATCTGGGGTAGTACACCAGGAGAGGCTGGAGAGCTCTCCAAGATGATTTTCTGATGTGTAAAGACTTCTACATAGAGCCTAAGGAGTTTGTCCTCAGTTCACTGTTTCTTGGGCATCCCATACACCCCTTACCCCATCCAAGTTCATCACCTCTTAATAAAACATAAAACCAAGCTCAAAGATTCTTTACTGACTCTGAATGCAAGTCTGTGTGTTGCCTGGCTGTGCAGGATTATAGGAAACCCAAATCTTCAGCAACTCCTGCAGGGGTAGTGCTACATTTATATGGTCTCTGGTGTCAGGTTTCCTTTTGTAGCACACAGATCTGGTTATCTCAGCTGCTGACACCTGGAAGTTCTTTTTCGCTGGCTTGTAAGGAGAACTTGGACCACCCTCTCCTCCTGAGTTTTCAATGGCTCTGATCATGATCAAAGTGCAGAACCTGCATACTTGAGTGACTTTTTGTGCCACTAAGCATTCATGTCCTGGTTGTAATGGTTTCATTGAAGGTAGTTGTTACACCTAGGGTAGGGTTGCCACCTCATCCCCTTAACACCAACATATTAACATTAACATATTAATTTCACAGGTGGTGATTAAGGTGGTAATTAAACTCACTTAGTGCCTTATCTGCAATAAATTAGGCTCAGAACTTGTGTAAATAATATGTGTTTGGTTTTAAAGGGATGAGGTGTCAACCCTAACCTAGGATTGCCACCTCATCCCTTTAAAATTGAACACATGTTAATTACACAGGTTTTTGGCAGATTAAGGTGGTAATTAAACTCACTTAGTGCCTTATCTGCATTACATTAGCTGCAGAACCTTTGTCATTATAATATGTTCGGGTTTTAAAGGGATGAGGTGGCAACCCTAGTTACACTGCCCATTAGCCTACCTACTGCCTTTGAAATAGTTGGCTCATTTCCCTTATCTCCTATTGTCTCATTGGCATCTACTACTTTCGATATCATAGTAATTTTCTCTCTATACCATAAATAGTGATATGTATCTAGATATACATATACGTGCCGCGCTCCATATTAAAAAACAAAAACTATATATAATAAATAATAGTGATAATATTATCGTGGAAACACAGTGCTCCAAATAAGTGCAACATAAACATAAAATGTGTAAAGATATGGTTCTGCCAATGAGTATAACAGTCCTCTTTACACTTCTATAGATATTCCAGTGATGGGTGAGATATATAGTGCCACACTCCTGTGCTCTGTGGATGGGTGTGCGCTCACCTCCTTGTCAGCCAGACAAGCTGACTAAACACACTTTTTGTCCTCACTGGACAAGGTGGGTATCTTTGCTTTATCTGCGTGTCTCCATCCGATGCTGGGTTGCCTAATTGCCACCAGAGGTCTCCCTCCTTCCACACTGGGACCTCAAATGGATTTCTTATAGGGCTGATAAAGGTGGTATTTCTCCTCTCAAATACACCATGTAAGAAACGAAAAACCACAAATGGTGCCTTATCCTTAGTATGGCCAGAGCCCGTTTATTATCAAGGAAACTCCACTCACATTTTATTCCATAAGTACAGACATCAGCTGGCGTGTATGTCAGTCCTGTGTGGCTGGCGCCGCTCGTCCACCGCGGCGTCGTGACGTCAGAGCCCCTCCCCTACACGTTACGCCACAGGGTCACGTGGCTTCATCAGGGGGATTGTAAAAAACAATCCCCCTGATGAAGCCACGTGACCCTGTGGCGTAACGCGTAGGGGAGGGGCTCTGACGTCACGACGCCGCGGTGGACGAGCGGCGCCAGCCACACAGGACTGACATACACGCCAGCTGATGTCTGTACTTATGGAATAAAATGTGAGTGGAGTTTCCTTGATAATAAACGGGCTCTGGCCATACTAAGGATAAGGCACCATTTGTGGTTTTTCGTTTCTTACATGGTGTATTTGAGAGGAGAAATACCACCTTTATCAGCCCTATAAGAAATCCATTTGAGGTCCCAGTGTGGAAGGAGGGAGACCTCTGGTGGCAATTAGGCAACCCAGCATCGGATGGAGACACGCAGATAAAGCAAAGATACCCACCTTGTCCAGTGAGGACAAAAAGTGTGTTTAGTCAGCTTGTCTGGCTGACAAGGAGGTGAGCGCACACCCATCCACAGAGCACAGGAGTGTGGCACTATATATCTCACCCATCACTGGAATATCTATAGAAGTGTAAAGAGGACTGTTATACTCATTGGCAGAACCATATCTTTACACATTTTATGTTTATGTTGCACTTATTTGGAGCACTGTGTTTCCACGATAATATTATCACTATTATTTATTATATATAGTTTTTGTTTTTTAATATGGAGCGCGGCACGTATATGTATATCTAGATACATATCACTATTTATGGTTTAGTTTGTAACACAGTTCATGAGCTATGTGTATAGTGCTGAAGCACCAGTAGTATATTTATGATTTAAAGTTTATACCTATCACGGTAAGGGAAGTATCCTGTTTTGGCTCACGAGTATAACCCAACACAATTTTTCAAATTTTCTCTCTATAATTTTATTTTTTGAGTTTCAAAAAATACTGTCTTATTTTTTCTGCACTTGGAAGCTCACAGAATTCAAAGAGTGCAATAAATTACATATAAGTTTTCGTGTGAGGTTACATGTATAAACAAGGCTTGGTCAATGGTAGTTAACCCTAGCCACTCTTAATTAAAACACACATTGAAAAAATGTGTGTCAACGTGCATGAAAATGCACAAAGGAATCACACTGACACATGACAATGCACCTGCTTAAGGTGGTTGTAAAGGCTCAAGGTTTTTTTTTACCTTTGTGCTTTCTATGCATGAAGGAAAAAACCTTCTGTGTGTAGCAGCCCCCCCCCCCCCAATTCTTACCTATGCCCCATTGCAATCCAGCAATGTGCATGAGAGCCTCGGCTCTCTGGGCACTCATCCTCTTCATTGGCTGAGACAGCAATGGGAGCCATTGGCTCCCACTGCTGTCAATCATAGCTAGTGAGCCAATGAGGAGGGGAGGGGCCGAGCCACTGCTCTATGTGTGAATGGATACACAGAGCAGAAGCTCGGGAGTGAGCCTACTTAGATTCCCCCATAGCAAGCAGCTTGCCTTGTGGACACTAGTGGGGGGAGGGCACAGGAGTGCTGGCGGGGGACCCAAGAAAGGATCAGTGCAAAACCATTACACAGAGCAATTGCCTTTAATCTCACTTTAATGCTACAAATAGCACCTGTGTGGACAAGCAAAGATTTAACTTGGCACGTAATGTTTTTTCGATGACTGCTTCCTAAAACTGATGGCAGTGTTTTTATATTTGTTGGTACCTAGGTGAGATGTTCTCTTACCTCTGTTTTAAAAATGAAAAGCTATAGTTTAAGATGACATTTCCTTCCTTTGAAGAAGGAGTCTTTTCATGCTTACTATAGAATATCATTTTGTATAGTTTTTGCCTTGTAGCTTTCTACACCTCCTTTCTGCTAAACTAATTAGGTTAGTGATTAAGATGGTTGAAATCCTCTTCTCTTAGGACTTTGTACAGATTTACGCCCTCAGCATTGCCGGAGGTTGCTAAATTTGAGGATTTCCCAACACAGCACAAACAGAGAGGTCAATGTCAGCTTTGATCAAGATGGAGCCCAGGGCAAAGTTCTAGGATAGGGCACTGTAATGATGAAAATTAATGATGGAGTATCAGAAAGAAGCTTTTCTTATTACTATGGCAACAACTTTGTTTTATCTGCTGGTCACCTTTCCTAACTTCTTATTTATATTATTACTACTTATATTTTTGCAGGATGCAGAAGAACAATAAAAATGCTGGAGATGACAGGCGTCCCATTGCAGAAAAATGAAGAACATGCCAATAGCCCAGTAAGATTACTTTTCCTTCCCCTTCTTGTTTATCTGCACAGTCAGCTGATAATGTATTAAATGCTAGATTTGTGTTTCTTACTGTAACCCCCAAAATAGATCAATTACATTTATTACTGTATGCTAAAGGAGACCTTGCACCAAAAACACTGGGTGTGCTTAGAATAGACCTACAGCCAAAATAACAGGATAAAAATGAATAGCCCGTGTGATATGGGGGTGCTTAGCTCAGCGGTAGATGCGTTTTGTAAGTAAGTTCATGCCAGACAGGAACTAAAATTAACCACTAGCCTACAGGGCACTTATACCCCCTTCCTGCCCAGGCCAATTTCCAGCTTTCAGCGCTGTCGCACTTTGAATGACCATTGCGCGGTCAAACAACACTGTACCCATATGACATTTTTATCATTTTTTTGTGACAGATAGAGCTTTCTTTTGGTGGTATTTAATCACCTCTGGGATTTTTATTTTTTCTTTATCAAACCAAAAACAACTGAAAATTTTGGGAAAAAAAATGTTTTTTCTTAGTTTTTGTTATAAAATTTTGTAAATAAGTGATTTTTATCCTTCACTGATGTGCGCTAATGAGGCTGCACTGATGGGCACTGATAGGCTGCACTGATGGACACTGATAGGTGGCACTGATGGACACTGATGAGGACGCACTGGTAGGTGGCACTGATGGGCATTGACAGGCATCACTGATGGGCACTGAAAGGCAGCACTGATACATGGCACTGATAGGCAGCACTGACTGGCAGCACTGATAGGTGGCACTGACTGGCACTGATGGGTGACACTGAAAGGCAGCTCAGATGGGCACTGATATGTGGCATTGATGTGCACTGGTGTGCACTGATATGTGGCACTGATGGACACTGAAAGGTGGCACTGCTGGGGCTACACTGATCATCAGGGCACACTGATCATCAGTGCCCTGATGATCAGTTTACATGTCCCCTCCGCGGAAAGCAGATTACCGGCTCTCCTCTCCTCTCGAGCTGTCAGCATGACAGCTCGAGAGGAGAGAAATGCCGATAACCGGTATTTCCCTGTTTACATGTGATCAGCTGTGATTGGATACAGCTGATCACATGACCGAGCCGACATCTTTGGCTCTTTCCATGATCGGTGATCCATTGTGTCCGAGGGACACAGCGCACCGCCGATCGCTGTGCTCTCCCTGATCCGCGCATGCGCAGTGACAATGGGAGGACGTCATATGACGTCCTCCCAGAACGAGAGAACCACCTTGCACCCGTCATATTACTATATGGCGGGTGGGAGGTGGTTAAAGGCCTACTTTTATTTAACAGTGACTGAAAAGTCCTTTCGACACGACACAAGGTTTCCAACGCAGGGAGTTTCAACTTCACTCAAAATAATACCCAATGAAAATGCCAAGCTACCTGGCTCTCTGGTTAGCAGTACCTCAGCTTGACTTGGTCTCCCAGACCACTGGCTATTCAGGCTCTCTCAGCCTAGGTGACATCTCCTTGCTGTTCAGGCCCCACATGGCCTCTTGACAGAGTTTTTCCTGAACCTCAGCTTGCTTCCTGCAGACTCATGGATTCCCTTCACACATCTTGGATTCACTGGCCTCTGCAGCTTCCTCAGGCTCCCAGATCCTCTCTTGGTCTCCCAGACTTTCATAGCTGGCCAGACTTTCACAGTCCTTGGGCCCAGAATCCCCTCACACAAGGGTTGTAGTCTCCACCAAGAGCTTCCAGCTCTCCTGACAGGGCTCTGTCTTCAGGCTTGCAGCAATAGCAACTGCTATTCCACTTCCAGCACTAACTGCTCTCACAAGCCCATCATTATAAGAGTTGTGTGCACCTGGGCACACACCCTGCTGGTTGTCCACAACACCCGAAAACAGGGTTAGAGATTCCATCCCGCCCAAGATTCTTTATGCCCCGTACACACAATGAGAATATCAGACGACGAACGATCGGCCGTTTTTTTTCACCTGCTAGTCTCACATCGAAAGTGAAAAGGTTACTAAAGATATGAAAATTCTCCTATGAAAGAAAAGAATTTCGAAAGTGATGTCATGTATTGCATTGTATTTGTATTGTATTTTCAGACGATTTCTGTGCTGATTAAACAAAAATCGTACGATCTGGTAGAGTACAAGAAATAATTTTGCGCTTGTCCCTTCGGATATTGTCGTACGATTTGTCGTGATCAGCTCTCGAAAGCTATGTACTAACGATCCGATTATCGGACGATCAGTACTCGTACAAACATTTTTGTATGATTTTCTTATAGTGGGTATGGGGCATAAGAATCTCCAAGCTACAGAGCCCCATCCAGCAATACCCAGATCCAGAGAAAGCTGCACAAGCAGTTTTCTCCACTCCAAATCTATGCTCTGTAGCATTGCACTAAGCAGACATGCAAACTCTGTGTCTTTTTCCTGGCCATTTTCATAGTGACAGAGCCTTGCACTGTCACTCCCGTTACCTATTATTATCCTACAAGATTTATATAGCGCCAACAGTTTGTACAGCGCTTTACAATGTAAAGAGAGATAGTACAGTTACAATACAGTTGTATTGTAAGTTCAATTGTTAGGTGGAGGTGAGATAGGCTTCCTTGAAGAGATGAGTTTTCAGCGATCGCCTAAAGATGACCAGAGTAGGAGATAGCTAGACAGACTGAGGTAGGGAGAGGCTCTGGAGAAGTCCTGGAGATGAGCATGGGAGGAGGAGACAAGAGAGCTAGAGAGCAGGAGATCTTGGGAGGAGCTGATGAACTAGAAAACCAGAATTTATTGCAATATTTTCTTTCAATCCAGGGCTTTCCCCCATAGTATTTCTTTTCCACTGCAGGATGTCCTCAGACTAAAAGGCTAACATCATTAGACCCATCTTCTCTGAGCCCAGGTTGCCTTGGTCCCACTCCTGCTTGGACTGGAAAGCAGAAGCAGTACAGTGATACGCTAATATTGCTCATTTTACCCCTGTAGCCTATCATCATTAATTCTGTAAGCACAGGAACTGATTGGGTCCTTCTGTTGCTTCTTTTTCTTACACTCCAGCCCTGTTTTGCAGGGACTACAAACCGCTACCAGGTCAAATCCAAATACTTATAAAAAAATGATATATTAATAGTTACATAGCTGCATTAAATTGTGTCTAATATATCTGGCTAGAATTCATCTCTTCATTACTCCCATGGCAAAAAAATGTACAAAATAATAAACATATATCTGTAGGGAAGATGAATTGACTAAACTTACCTTTCCCCCAGCTTCTGACCAAGGTGCCTAAGCAAGGGTGATGTGACGCTCTCTTTTGGCAATATCCCAGGGAATGTTAAGTAGCCAAAAATTCAGCAAGTTTGTGCACTGTGTTTGATCATGGTCTTGTGAGGTTTGGGCTAGCAAGCATTCCCCAAAATTTCAATGGAATTAACAACTGTGTCCAGGGTAATGCATTTGACTGGTATTTTAGGGCTGGCTCACACCTCATGCAGTCCAGTGCATTTTGTTTTTTTTTGCATCAAAAACACATTGATAGTAGGTTACAAGGTTTCCAATGACATAGTTCACACAAGTGCGGTCAGTTCCAGTGCATTCCAGAAAGAAAAGTAGAGCATGATGCATTTTTTTCTGCACTGAACTGTACTGGAACTGTACAGTAAAATGCATAACAAAACGCATTAAAATGCATTGGAATGCTTTAAAACTTTGTATACAGAAACGCATCCGGACTATGTTTTTATGGCGTGAACCGGCATTTAAGGAGGTGTCTATAAAGCACTGAAGAGCTGACTTTTCTATTACTTTTCTATTGTAAATTTTGATTATGCACCTAAAAGCTCCTTGCAAACTACAAAAGTTAACATTAAAGTTGAGTTCCAGGCAGATATAAAATACAAATGAATACAGTTCTCAGTAATAAATGCAGCTTTGTACTTATTAGTACATCATTAAATGCATTTTGTTCAATGCAAGTCCTTAAATTTGACTTGATAGTAGCTTGTTGCAATCCACTGCATGGCAGAGCTCAGCTTGGACCAGGGAGAAGCAGCACAAGGAGTCAGACAGCTGCACTGCAGTGCTCATGTCTTAACCAGGGTAGAAGAAGAAGAGCAGAGTAACAGAGAGATGAGCTCATCGGTGTACTGCATTTCCTTTTACTGTCCAGGCTGGGGGGAGGAACAAGATCAGTTTAACCGCCTCCCGCTATATAAGGTAATGATGGACGCAAGGCGGTTCTCTCGTTCTGGGAGGACGTCATATGTTGTTCTACCACTCTAACTGCACACATGCATCTCCGGGGGCACAAGCAGCATGGCCATCAGTGGTGCACTGTGTCCCTCGGAAACAGCGGATCACCGATCAATGGAAAGAGCCAAAGATGTCGGCTCGGTCATGTGATCAGATGTGTCCAATCACAGCATGTAAATAAGGAAATGCCGGTTATCTGCATTTCTCTCCTCACGAGCTGTCATGCTGACAGCTCAAGAGTAGAGGAGAGCCGGTAATCGGCATCCCTCAGAGGGGACATGTACACTGATCATCAGGGTACTGATGATCAGTGTAGCCCCAGCAGTGCCAGCTGTCAGTGTCCAATAATTCCAGCTGTCAGTGCCCATCAATGCCACCTGTCAGTGCCCATCACTACCACATCATTGCCACTTATCAGTGCCTACCAGTGCACATCAATGCCACATATCAGTGCCCATCTGAGCTGCCTTTCATTGTCAGTGCCAGGCAGTGCCACCTATCAGTTCTGCCAATCAGTGCCACCTATCAGTGCCAGTCAGTGCCACCTATCAGTGCGCATCAGTGCCGCCTATCAGTGCTGCCTATCAGTGCCAGTCAGTACCACCTATCAGTGCCATATATGAGTGCTGCCTTTCAGTGTCTATCAATGATGCCTGTCAATGCCCATCAGTGCCACCTACCAATGCCTCCTCATCAGTGCCCATCAGTGCCACCTATCAGTGTGCATCAGTGCCACCTATCAGTGCGCATCAGTGCCGCCTATCAGTGCCCATCAGTGCCAGTCAGTACCACCTTAGTACACATCAGTGAAGGAGAAAAATCACTTATTTACAAAATGTTATAACAAAAACTAAGAAAAAACTTTTTTTTTCAAAATTTTCAGTTGTTTTTGGTTTGTTTAGCAAAAAATAAAAACCCAGAGGTGATTAAATACCACCAAAAGAAAGCTATATTTGTCTAAAAAAAATGATAAAAATTTCTTATGGGTACAGCGTTGTATGACCGCGCAATTGTCATTCAAAGTGTGACAGCGCTGAAAGCTGAAAATTGGCCTGGGCAGGAAGGGGTATAAGTGCCCTGTAGGCAAGTGGTTAAGGTAAAGCTGAACACTGGACAAGAACAATTTTAGGACATCTGCAGTGTAAAAATAAATGCCCACTAAAGAAGTGTGTGCCATGAGTGGCTTCTTCTGCTTCGGGGAAACTTTTACTTGTGTTCAGCCCATACAGTACAGTAAACAGCAAATGTATGACATTGAACCCTCATGCACACTGGGCGTTTTTACAGCTGCTGTTTTTGGCTTTTGGTGGTTTTTTCTACAGCCAGTAAACTCCCCAGCATGTTATCCTATGTGTCCATGCACACATAGACTGTAATTAACGTTTTTTGGCTGGAAAAAAACCCCCAGAACTAGTGGGTTTCTAGAGGAATTTTTTAACTGTAATAACGCACTAACGCTAAAAAACATCAAACGTCAAAGCGCCACGAAATGCTAATGCAAAAACACAAAAAAAACACTGAAAAATTCACGTTTTTAACGTGACTTTACAAAGCTAACGTTACTAGTGTTATTAAAACGCCCAGTGTGCATCGAGCCTGAGACTTAACACATCCAGCTGGAGTGCATAAATAATAATAGGTTGATTGTGCAGCAGCTCATCCATTCAGAAAATACT